TTGGGAATTGTTCATCAAGGTTTACAAGTTCTTTCACTAATGCAATTTTTCTTAATTTATCATAATGATCTACACAAATTTGTACACAAACATTCATTAATAAGATCAACATCATTTGTGCACAAACATTCATAAATAAAAAAAGTTGATTTGAAGTTCAAACATGTTACAATATTTCAACATTTCTTAAGCAATATTAATACTTTTAGGATATTTGTTGAGACCATCACAAAACCAATAGTAAACTCAGCGCATGAGCTAAGCAATGTTGAGGTTCTTTACACCTAGTATTTTAGAAGTCTTTATATTTGCAATACCATCATGAACATTGTAAACAAATGTAACTCCTCATACTGTTTGCTAAACATATCTTTAATAACATCCTTAATAAAATCTGCAATATTTTCTGCAGTGTGGTTTTGCAGTGGTGCACAAGATAAAATGAATATTTCTCTCTTGTTATTACTGAACACTTTACAACAATAAATGATTGTCTTTTGTATTTATCTGTCCAGCCATCAAAAAGTGAGGAAACAGCATTAGAGTATCTCAAACCATTCTTTACACTGGTTTGTTAACTGCTTTGAACTGGTCTTGATTGCTTTTTTAATTGATGTCAATGATGAACATGATAAAGTGACTATGCCAAAATTTTTTTCAAAAATTTTTGAAAAACTGGTTCTTTCTACAAGGTTCAGTTACAACAAATCAGTAAAAAATTGCAATGTCATGAGTAATATCAAACTTTACTTTTGACGCAGACCCATTTGTGCTGCACCAATTTTATAACATATTGTTATTTTTTTCTTCAGTAGAGATTTTATCAGTGACAATTTTGTGCACTTAAAACAAATGATTTTTCATGTTTTCACTAGAAGTTGTACATTTTACTTTTATTTATGTCAAGTGTGAAGGTTTTATTTTAGACAAGTGTGAAGGCTTGTTATTAACCAATTTGAATTTTTCAATTTCCAAACATGTTTTGCAATAATAATTGTTCTTATCTAAATTTTGACCATCTTCATCTATTAATTCTCCATAATTCCATACAAGCGATGCAAATTTTTTTTTAAAGTTGCTTTATAAATTATTCTTAAAGTTTATCTTTAAATATTTTAAAGATAAACTTTCATTTGCTTCACAAAGATATAAGATTATATTATATATTGGTCTTTTCATATTAAAACTCTATTTGAACATGAAGAAATATACCCTGAAAATAAAAATAAGATTTTTCTGGAAAGCATGTGGTCTCGTATGCGATGGCAGATACTGTCAAATAATAAGTCAAGCTAAACAAGAGCCTCCAAAAGTATGGAGAAAATTGTTTTAGAATTAAGTTTGGATTTAACATACCTGACTATAATTTTAAAATAAACAAAACTATAGACTTTACACAAACAATATTTTCAATAAAGAGAATGAAATCTTTTAATTTATTTATAAAAACAGGATAAGTTAGGGGTAAGCTGTATTTTAAACGTATTTTTAGCGGCGGTTAGATTTTAATTGTGTGTGTGTGTGTGTGTGTGTGTGTGTGTGTGTGTGTGTGTGTGTGTGTGTGTGTGTGTGTGTGTGTGTGTGTGTGTGTAGATAGACAGATAAATAGATACATAAATAGATACATAAATAGATAGACAAAAAGAGATAAAGAGCCAGATACAAGTTCATTATTACATAAAAATTACTATCTAAATAATATAGAATAACAATTATAAAACAAATGACATTTAACATATAACGTATATTAGTAGTAAAAAATTTTACATATAGCATTATGTGTATTTATATTTATAAATGTTTTTTTAAAAATACTGTTTCATTTTAATCTCAATTACATGCTAATGATAAATAATTAAATTTACATGATTACATGCTGAGGTTTTCATAAATCATTTTTTACTGCTTTTAGTCTCCATCTAGAAAACTAGCTATATATATATATATATATATATATATATATATATATATATATATATATATATATATATATATATATATATATATATATATATATATATATATATATATATATATATATATATATATATATATATGTATGTATATATATATATATATATATATATATATATATATATATATATATATATATATATATATATATATATATATATATATATATATATATATATATATATATATATATATATATTCTCCCATAATAACAGTATCCCATTGTCCTCGATATCTACTTTTCGTTTTTGCAATGTCCTGATGAAATCTCACTACATGCTTCTAACTGACATCATCTATGTTTTCAGGAAGAAATCTAGGTGTGAAAGTTAAGTATAAGTCTGTATGGAAATATGACAAACCATTTTTTGAATTTTTTAATAAGTTTTGCAACCAGTTGTTTGTAACTTGGACGTGGGTGTAACTAGGGTCCTTGCAGTTTTCAAGGAATCCACGAACTATATCACAAAATGCACACAAAGCTTCTTTTTCGACCTTTGTTATTGCTCTTTTGAGTTTCTCTGACTTCAATGTTGTTTTTATTTGGGGCCCAATGAATGTAGCATCTTTGATCTTTGTCTCAGATAGATTTGGAAACATAAAACGAATTTCTTACTTTTACAAGAAATTTACAAGGCTTTTACAAACTATTTTAAGGATCCTAGTTTGATATGAAGTAGGTGTAATAAGACTTTGTTGGAATCAAATAGAGGCGGCATTAAATAATCCTGGCTGTAGTTCCACTCGTGGGCCCCAATGAACTTTCCTGTAATAATCATCATTACCCCTGTTCTCCTATAAGCAAAAAAATATGAATCTTTTGTGTATCCCTCTTTTAGACCAAGCAGGAGAGAAAGCATCTTAAAATCACCACAAACCACCCGCCGGAGTTATAAATAATTAACTCAAGAAGTGTTATTATCATAGCCTTCTTTCGTACGTGCAAGAGACAAAGATGAATATTTCCAATGTGGAGCAACACTGCTTTGAGACTCCGTTTTGAGCTTTCTATTGTACAGGATCTTGCTAGAGTTTAAGAGATGTAACAAACCTGTTACGTCTTCTTTACAGTAACATAGATCACTACACAATTCATGTTAAATTTCAAATTCTTTTTGTCGTTTCTAATAAACACATGCCCTGCAGTCTTCGCCTAATAGATTCTATTCCATCACCTTTGATGAAAAAAGTTCAGCTTCTGACTTTATAAGAAATCTCTAGTTAAATCATCTAGATTACTCTGGTTTGGAAAGTGAGGTTGGAAAGTCTTTCTGGATACAAAAAGGTTCCTCCACGTCTTCGCTGCTGTTACTTGCTGACTAATGAGATTAAGTATTCATTGAAACTTCGTAAAAAAATGAAAAAATAATATAGCAACTTTAACATAAACATACATTACAGTAACGTTCAAAACCTTATTTAGAAATAAAATTGTACTAAATATTTTGTTAAATATGTTTTACATTTAAATATTTTAATAAATATTTTAAATGTAAGACATTTGGAAATTTGTTTACATTTGAAACATTTTTATCATTTCTGGTATTCCGGCATACGAAAGTTAATTTTTTCGGACTCAACGGAGTAATAAATTTTAAACCAATCAAATCGGAAGTCATCTCAGGTAATAGCCGCTATTGTAGAACTGATAGGCTGTCATTGTTGCACAGGTGCTGTAAATGATGGTATATCTGCATATTAAAGAGCTTGTCTCCCTTTAATATCTGTATTTCGTACTATCAATCATACAATAGTAATTGTGATGGTTCTTTGGCTCTCTCCATAGCCAGGGAACGACAAAAGCATTACTTTTCTACCTTGTAACTATCCTGCTAGAGTAGTTCGGCAGGTTCTAAATATCACATGAAAGGCCCGGGGTTTGTCCTGATCACCCATGGACATTTCAAAATACTCTATCCACAATATGATACCATTCACAATTTTATGTAATACCTGCTTTTTGCCAATATAACATCCTCATACATAGCAAAACATTTCTGGAGAAGTTTGATATGCTCTATAGCCGTTATGAGAAGAACTGAACTTAACCAGTCGGTATAAATACGTATAAAAAACGTATTTGATACGTATTTAGAGTAGGTTAAGATGTTTTTAATTTTGGTCTTGAGCGCAAACTTTAATTGCGTATTTGGTATTGCGTATTTTACAACGCCTAAACGGAACTCCTTTTTTTTTTTACCTAATTATGACTTATTTTGCGTCTACAATATACATATTATTATCTTTCTTGTACCACAGTACTTTTCTTTCCTCATCCAAGTCTGAGCTGCGAGAGTAGCACTTTAATAACCTCCCATAAATTGTTTTGTGAGGCACTGATGATGTATGGGCGCCCAGTTGATGATGTGGCGCTCACTGATGATGGGCACTCAGTTGCCGGTTGGCGCTAAAAACACTATAGCTTGAACGGTCGATGGGACTGAAAAACTTTTATATTTTTTAAAATTAGTATAAACAGTGGGCAAAAATATTGTAAAAATTTGAAGCATTGTGTTATTATTTTTCTAAAAATGGCTTAGAAACACAACTATTTTGTTAAAGTTAAACATTTTTTCCTTTAAATCTAGAAAACAAAATGTAAAAGTTCTATAACTAAAAACATGTAGCATAAATTTCAATACCTTATAATATACCGGAATCTAGCAATGAATCTAAAATAAACCAAGGCGTCGCTGAAAGATTACCACAAAGTTTTAAGATAAACTTATTTCTTTGTTTTTAGTAAAATGTACCTTTTGTTTTTTTTAAAATGCACGTTTTGAGTTAATAAACTATAGAATTTATTCTAGATATTTGTTTTAATTCTACTATTCATAGAAAAGTTATTTTCTTCAATGAACAGAATATTACAAAAGGGTTTTTTATTAAGTTTTTATTACAATTGTATTACACACATTCTAGTTATATATATGCACTGATGCACAAAATGGCTTTTATTTTAAAACTTTAATTGTGTGACCATTATCACAATTTTGAATATTTTTAAATATATGTTTTAATTGTAGGATTGCTTCCTCGTGTTGTTCCGAAAGACGGAGGGCCTCCGCCCGAGTACGGACTGAAGTCAAAATCGCTTACTAAGAGAACCTACAAATCTCGTATTTAATGTTGGATTGCACAAACCTTGTGAAACTTTTTTTAAATATTTGTTATTTAGTAGTTTTGTGAATTTATTATTCCTGCTAAAACTATTTATTTTTGTTAAAGTGTTTTTTACAAAGTTTAATGGGTAGCAGGAAAAAAATTCCCCCCCCCCCCCCTCCCAAAAAAAAAAAAGATTTTTTTATTATACTTTAATACTTGTTATAAAGTAGCGAATAATTAGTGAATTAATTTTACGACTCTATCATCGGGGAAGTTTGTGTGTCTAGGGCCTCCATGTACCAAAGGCCGCCCCAGTTTTTTTAGACTAAACTAAGAAATTAACGCTTTTTATATCAGGGAGCTGGTATTGAAATTAAGACCTCTTAATTTTTAAGCAAAGCTCTAACCACACCTGCTCCCATAATTGCATATTGAACAGAGAGAGAAAATCTTCAAAAACGAGTATAATTGCTGCATTTTCAAGTGCATTGTAGTCATTTTAATGTAATAGCTGTAAATGGAAGTCCTCTATGTTTTCTTTATACTGACCTTGATAACAACGTTTGATTACATAATAAAAACGCGTGCCTTGCCCTTTAGAGTAAGCTAAATGTATTAAGATAAGCGTCGAGAATAACGACTTTAAGTAATATTCTGCATCCCGTTTCGACGTAATATAGATCCACATAATTTTTTGCTTATAACGAAAGCTATAGTTTAAAAGCTATAATAATGATTTTATTGTTACGAATGTCCTAGAGGTAAAGGAAATTTTGTGAAATCGCCTTGAAGGTTCATGAATTCTATTTTGAGTCTCCGATAACCTGCTATATGTAGTCGTCAAGACTAAGTTGGTTGAAACTAAATTTCAGTGAGCAAATCCAGGTTTTGCGTTTTTTATAAAATCCTGACCCGAATATAATAAGTGCTTGAATATCATATTCGTTTTTAATAGTAATAAGTTTTAACTTTTGCTATAATAAATCAAAAATAGTTAATTAATATAATAAACATATTAAATTATTTATCTATCGCAATTTATTATAAGAAAATGAGTATAAACGGTTTAAATAAATTTTAAAAATTCGGGATTTTATAAAAAAAACGCTAAACCTGGATTTGCTCACTAGAAAAAGTATCGACCGACTAAGTTTAAGAGTCCAAAATAAACCGCTTATAATGAAATGGCATTCATAAGGGCTACACGTAAGTCCAATTGTCTCTTTAAAATAAAAATCGCCCGCATCGTTGCAGAAACGCAGCCTATCTTTCTGAATAAAAAAAGTTAGGTAATGTTTGGTGAAGTGTTCTCTAATATGAACGTTTTAATTTAATAAATTCCATTGCTTGAGTCTTGGTGTTAGAAATTCAGGCATCAATTTAGTAAGATAATTTAAGCAGCGTTTAGAGTTCTGGCTCAGAATCAAGAGGTCCGACGTTTGACGCCGGCTCTAATCCAATAAAAGACATTGGTAAGAAAGGATTCGTGAGCTTCCCAGTTAAATACTCTTCCGCGGTGCTCTGTGATAAGACTGTAAGGAATTCTGGGAGCACCTTAATAATCACACACACGCACAAAAGAACTAGGTCTCTAGTTTGTTAAAGCTTTTCTTGTTAAGAAAGTAGGCTTTCTCCCTCAACCACAGCTTTAACCTTTATTCAAATGACTTGCTCACTATCAGACTTGCTGCTTTCTGTTGTGCTTTTCTACTGATCTCTTTTAGGGAACTGTAAATGCAGTTTAGAGTTGTGCGTTATTGTAGCAATGGACGAAGGAATGTCATAAACGGTTTGAGGAGCATTCTGAGCAATATTTTTTAGTTTCAGCAATGCAAAGTATCAGTTGCTCAGTGCTGGAATGGCCTACCGGAAATATCTTGGTGAGCCTGCCGGCTCTGAGATCAAGTCAATGTCCACTTGTTAATAGACCCATTGCGATTATCCCAGTGGGTCTAATACCCACAAACATAGTCAAATTTTTATAATCTTTCTTATCACTTTATCAAAACAGTTTCAACTCTAGTATTACCATAAAAGATAACAAAAGTAATAGATAAAAATATACAAGTGATAAGTTTTACTATTCGTTTTGTTTAGTTTTCTGTAACCAGATGTGTAAGCAGCCGTGGCGCAGTGGTTTGAGTTCTGGCTCAGAACCCAGAGGTTCGAGATTCGACGCCAGCTCTAGCTCAACAAGCAACATTGGTACTGAAGGAGGTGTGAGCTTTCTGTTAAATGCTTTCCCGCTATGCTCTGTAATAAGACTGTAAGGACGTCTGGGAGCACCTTAATAACTATAAAAAAATGAAAATTAAAAAATAACAACTCAGTATTTTTGTTATTTAACTAAGTATTTATTACTAAACATGTTTCTCAAAGAGTTGCAGAACATGAAATGTCTTCACTTATACTACATGTACAAAGCATACATCATAAAAACCAACTATAAAGATATTTATAGAATATAAAATTTTAATTCTATTTATTTATAAATAATATTTATTAATAAGAAACAACTCAATGTCAATAGAAATTCTCTTAAATGAAAGTAATAAAGCCGACACCACGTAAGATATTGGCGCACTAGATCGATGTTTAAGAAGATCGTGTTTATGACCAATTAATAGCCGTTGAACTTAAACAAATGGAGAGAAAATCTGTAATTTAATGCGCTAAGTTTTAAAAAATCTGAAAATATATAAAAATAAATGTATTGTTAATTGTATTGATGGTGTATATATATTTATTTATATGTACATATGAAGATTTTAATGCATAATTAAATAAAGTTTCTCTTAATCAAGTTTCTCTAAGTCAGGTTCATATTTAATGTTATACACATTTATTAAATTTAGGTATTGCAGATATTACAAAAAAGACAAAAAAAGCCATCTTTTTGTTTGATATTTTAAATAAATGAGCGGTTTTTAATAGAATCTTATAAACAACTCAACATACGGCAAGAACTTGAAAAATTTAAGTTTATTTCTACTAATGGAGAAACACGTTGGTGGGCCAAAGATAAAACGTTAAGAGAAATGTTTGGTACATTTAATAGTACATCAGAATTGTATTTTTCGTAAATATTCTGAAAACTTTTTCTGAAATCTCCATATTCGTAAAGTTCAACAAAGATATTAGACATGGAAACACTATTTTTACCACATTTTTAAAATTTGAAATTATTTTAATAGCTTAAATGTTTTTACGAATATTCGAAAAAACAACAGCTTTTTAGATCATAGTTACAAACATCAGGTAATGATACTGCAATTTCATTTGGTATTGTTAAAAAAACGACTGAAATCTTTTTAAAATACAATGAGATTTGGATACTGCTTATCAAGAAGCACTAATTTATGTTAGACAAAAGAGAAATGGAAGTTCAATTTGAAACAATGTTATGTTTAACAAACAAATGAAATAGAACGGATAATTCTAACGATAGATTTTGTATTCGTGTATATAATGTTATGATTAATGATGCAGTTACCTCGACAATTTTAAGTATTACTTTGTAAAATTTTTGAAACTTTAACTAATTTTATACATCTAAAATTAACTAAAAATATTACGAAAACAATTTTGAAAGCTGAACTATTAGATTTTCAATAAAAGTGGAAAATTTTTAATGGTACTTTAGTAAAAGATAAAAGTTAGTTATTTTTTGATGAAGATGTTGAAGAAATTAAGGTGGTAGGCCTATGAAAAATAGAGATTTTTGATCAAAAATTGAAAAAATAGGAAATATATTGTATTTATGTAAAAATTTATCCTCTATCTGCTGATATATGACTTGTTTAGGTTTGATTAAATTAAAAGTGTTTTAAATAACATATTTTGTTAGCTAGTTTTTTTGTTTACCTTAGCAACGTCATAGCAACGAAAAATTAAGACCTTATTTTACCCAAATTAGATGGCCAAAATGACAAATCTTGTGAAGCTTCTTTTTCCAATATGATATAGATCTGCGGTGTTTTTGGTCATGCTTTAAAGTTACATTTTCTTATAATAATTGCCATATTAAACTGTTTATATTAGCTGTGGTATAAAATCATTATTTATGAATTTTTCAACTCTTAATTTAAATCAATCAATTTGTACTTGTGTATAATCGTAATAAATGTCTTCTGGAAAAAGCAGCAAGCAAAATTTTTCACGAAAAAGAAAGAAGAAGCCTCCTGTAAATAAATACTCAAAAAAATGTCTTTCAAATATTTCATCAGAAAAAGTTACATCTAGCATAAGTAAAAAGAGGCTAATTATGAATCAAACTAATCTCAATACAATCAGTGAAGTAATAAAACAAGAAGATGATTACTTTTTATTCGTAAATTTCTCTGTACTCAAAAGTGTATTTCAACCTTTGTTAGTATGTCCTGAATGTGGCCATAAAAAAATAACTCTCAGTGATAACAGAAAGAAGAGAAAGGGATTTGCCCATAATTTAGAACTTTTATGTGAGTCATGCGAATGTCAAAAGAATCAAACAAACATCAAAAGAATGTAATACACAAAACCATGGTCAAGGTCCTAAAATCTTTGAAGCAAATGCAAGGGCAGTAATTGGTTTTCGTGAAATCGGTAAAGGTTTTACTGCAATGGAAACATTTTCTCAATGCATGAACATGTGTTCTTTATCTAAAACACCATTCTCTAACCTTAATGACAATGAAATTTATACAGCATATGAGAAAGCTGCTTTTAATAGTATGTAAAAAGCAGCTGAAGAAGCTCAAGACAAAACAAAGAGTAACAATTGATGGCTCTTGGCAAAAGCGGGGCTTTACATCACTAAATGGTGTTGTAACTGCTGTCATCAACAACAAAATTATAGATACTAAAGCTTTTTCTAAGCATTGTAAAGGTTGTTCAATGTGGAAAAAACATAGAGGATCACCAGCCTACAACAGATGGAAAGCAGATCTCATATGTCACATTAACCATACAAAGTCATCTGGTGCAATGGAGGCGGCTGGCGCATTGGAAATCTTTTCTCGATCAGTTAAAAAGTACAATTTGATTTATCATGAATACCTAGGGGATGGTGATACTTCATCTTTTAAAGAAGGTAAAGAATCTAATCCATATAAAAATTATAATATTCAACCAATAAAATTGG